AAGCACAAAGCAGCCTGTTCGGTGAACCTACACGTCACCTTTCGAAGTGGGGCATAATGGCACTTTGCCATTTTCTTCAGAAGTCAGCCTATATTTTGACCTGAACCCTTTCACTCCCTTAGTCTAGCTAAACTCTGTTCCCGGACAGGTTCAACCCGCACAATCCGAATATCTTAGCCGTTCAAAGCGAAAACGTATGGCCCTCTATGCCACAGATGCTGATGACAGAGGGTGGTTTCATGCGAGGGCCGAACGTATCAGACATTTTCGCACCAAGGAAATAAGGGTTCTTGTCCGATTCCATTTGCTGAACATTTCCCAAAAGGCAGTTTGGATCACTGAGCAGCAATATCACATTCGCTTGGCGCGAAAATGCCTGGTACGTTCGTTCCGGACGCCGGCACGAAAACTAGCCTGTGGCATCGGCATTTACGATGTGGGTGCTAGGTATTGCCGCTTCAAGCGGGCAAGATATTCGCGTTAAGAGGGCTAAACGACCCTGGCGGACAATTTTTGAACAAACCTATCGTCGGGAAAGTTTCAACCAAAATGGCCCTCGAAGATCACGGCAGTAAAAATCTTGTCACATTTTGAAAGGTGACGTGCACCATGGAGAGCTTGATTCAAGTTAAAAATTTCGCGAATCCATCCTCAAGCTTGGCACGGCCACTCATTACGAGAGACACACATCCCCTTGTTTAGAGTTAAAAAAGAAGTTCCAAAAAAGCTGATCCATTGCTAGACTGTAAATATAAGAGCAAGCCTTAAACTTCCCAGGAGCGCGTTCATACTTAGCGACCCAACTGCTCGGACTGCGCGAGCCTAGCGATCGGATTGCGAAGTATGAACGCGCTCTTACGAGTAGCGAGTAGCGGCCTTAAACAGTACTTATCAAAAAAATGCAAACAATAAAGTTTGAAATAAATAAAAAAAGTACCTCAACAAGACCGTGAAGATATCGCGTAAATCTGTATAATACGGAAAGGTTGAGTGGACCGAAGTCGCCATAGAAAGGTTCATAATGTACCTAAATACTCGCAGGCTCTTTCAAACCTATTGAAAAATAGCGGCAGCTCCTTTTCTAGGTAGCGTCCACCTCATGATCGCAATCGGCCCTGACAAAAAAAACTTACACGGTTGTCCAGATCGATGTAGCGGACATGTGGATCAGCTTTGTGTGGAGGTGCTTTAAATGATGCGAAATAAAGCTGTTTTGGAAGCAGTTCGACGACGTTTCCGTTGCAAGGCGAACCAGCCTCTTGAACAACCGTTCGGACATTGCGTCCTACGGCATGCGCTCGACAATTCATATACCAACTTCCGTTAACCAGCACATCCTTAGACATGACCGCCATTTAATAAGATGTCCGGTTACACAATAGAGGAAATGCTGCGGCTCTCACAATACTAACGGCCAAGATGGCAAAATAGTCCTCAATTAGAAGGAAGGTGCAAAGAAAAACACTACAGTGGCAAATGCCCCTTACTAGAGCCCCAAAGCTGAGCGGGCAACTGGCTACGAGCGTGCGGGCGAAGCAGGACGAGTTTTCCGCTTGCCGTGTCGTTTATGCCAGATCTGTCTTCTGCGTTCTTTCTTACCCACCCCACTTATCAGCCGATCGAAATGGAGAGATTAAGCAAGCCCGGAAGCACGCACGACCAGTAGACGGTAGGAGCTAAAATAGGCTTGGTGGTTGCCGCTGGCCAATAGCGCGTGGTTGGCTTCCGTCATGCAAGCGGCGTCCGCGCTTTCTCCACGTCCACCGTTGCGAGGTGCCCAAAGTAGCGCCATCCTCCATGGCTGCGCTAAAAAACCTGCATGAATGATGCGAGTGCTGCGCATGACATGAACGCCATAGGGCGTGCCTTGTAACCTTGTTGCTTTGTTCGCTGTCGATATGAACAGAGAAAACTCTGTGAAAAGAGGCACGGTACACCGTGGCGAATGGAACCAGACGCTTAACTCATGCGAACTGTTCGAAGAACTTAGCTGTGCCATACTATATCCCGGAAAGTGAGCCTGAGCTCTGCTTGTCTCGATCACCAAGGCAGGATGCTAGGTCGGTCAAATTGAAAAGATTCATGAAAAAACGCACCCTGGGTCAGATGAAGTACGTAGCTACGCCCTCTCCATCTCCAGGATATGAGTGTATTCGGCTGACACAGGCAACTCCCTGTGGGGGATTCAGTGAAACAACATGACTCAGAAGAAAGCTGGATAAGTATTGACTAGCTCCAAATTTTCTACTAATTTTCACATATATTTTGAACAAATCTGCTGAGCTGCGAATCAATAACTAAGCAAATGTTTCAGCTGTCACCTTCTTCGACGTACCTGCGGATTAGAAAAACACCGACAAACTAATTGTTCCCATTGAAAGCAGATTTGTAATGTCTGGGGAAAAAGAGGAATGTCGGTCCTCTCGGAAGAAACTCCCTGCTCCCACTTAAACAAGGAGAACCCCCTTATTCCCATTGAAACAACTAGCACTTTAGCATAACGAATAAACTGTCAGAAAAAAAATATAAATTGCTTCTGTAGGAGATCGAGAAAAGGGCGGTGGGAGTTAGGGGAGGGGGCAAGGGGGGACCACTCGGCCCGTGTTTCTTCCTCAAAAAGACTTAGGTGATACAGCCAGAATCGCCTAGTGATAATCTTGCAAAGTATACTTCTAGGGAGCCCTAGCCTTGATCAGGAGCAGAGACACGGAGGTGCTGACCGACTAGTCCCCCTCCCCCTCCCTAACCAACTACGTTAGCAACGAGAATAGGAATAATTGAGGGGTTAGCGTTAGTTCATACGACAACGGTGAAGTACTACATCATTCGACAGCAGGGCCTTTACAATATCCATTCTGAACTTCCACCTAACTTTCACCTTGGGGGGAGGGCCTGAGATCACTAGTATTTCCTTCTCCTCAGTTTAAATGGAAAGGAAAATATTGGAGGCTCTGGAAATAAAACGGCTGTCACCAGAAATAAACAACAGGGAGGAGCTACGTGACATCATGCAAGTGATAATGTGATCGCGCCACAAGTATCCCACTATTTAAGGGCATGGTTGGGGTGGGTTGGTCATTTATTTCGGGACAACTGGTAAGTGGCTTGGTGGGGGTGGGGTCCGTGCGGGTTGCACTTTGTAGAAGGTATAACCAACAAAACAAGCTAAATATTTTCAGGCCTGACGAAGGTGCTACGCACCGAAATATTGCAAGTTAAGATATATTATAACAAACTTTTGAGACTTTCACTGTCTTTTGA